CTCCATCAGGTCTACAGGAAGGAAGGAGCTGTCCTCACTGACAGACTTTGGTCATACAACTCCAGACCAGAATAGTAAGCTGGATTCTGAAGTGACAGGAAATGTTCCAGGTTTTCAGGAACCAAATGACGTAAGAAAAACTGTGCTTTGGGGGCTGGAGAGATGCTCAGTGGTTAAAAGCACTGCCTGCCCTTGCAGAGGACCTGGGTTTGGTTCCTAGTACCGACATGGCAGCTAACAACCATCTGTAACTCCACTTCCAGGGGATCCAACACCCTCTTCTAACCTCCTCCGGCATTGCACAATACGGGTGCACCTACCTACATGCAGGCAGTACACTCATGCACATAAAATAAAAATAATAAATACAATATTTTTTAAAAGAAAGAAAAATTGTGCTTTGGTGAAGACTAGCGTGACTGGGATCTGTGAGGTGAGCAGTATCTGCGAGGTGAGCGGGGTACAGACCATCTGTTCCTTCTGTAGCAGACCAGGGACTACGAGTGGTGTAGGAGGCCGTGGCAAAGAGGCCAGTAGGCTGGGAGAAGGACTGGGACACTGAGATGGGTGTCGACAGGTCTCGATGTCAGCCCCTGCTAGATGCAGGCATGCAGAAGTGTTGGAGCTGAGCCCTCTGCCAGCATGTGTCTAACAGGTAAAGAATGCAAAGCCAGTCATGTACCCTGGCTGCCCAAATGTAGCACCAACCCAGTGCTCCCCATCCCCGGGCCCAGCACCTCAGACCCACAGTCAGCACTAGAGCAGTCTCACCATCCCTGCCTAACATCATCGCCCAAATACCAAGTAGAAAGCTTGACGGGTCCTCCAGGCCAAGCCCCTTCCAGTAAAAATGAAGCCAGGCTGGACAAGGGCTTAATAACTTTGCACATTTTACTTAGGCAAAGTATTAATTGGCTGACTTGGTTCAAAAAGCCATTGCAGGCTGAGTGCTCAAAAGGAGCTCCCGTGTGGGCGTTCCTCTTAGGCAAATCCACAGGAACAGCTGCTGAAATTAGATTGGCATGTCACTGCCTCTGGAGGTGTTCCAGCTCCTTCCAGTTGACATGAACACTTTGGGAGAAGGGAAGCCGGAGCAGGAAACCAGCCATTGATAAAGCATTCCAAGCCATCCTTCTGTGACGAGGGTCTATTCTAGTGTAAACCCACCCCC